TAAGAAAACAGGCTTAAGGCAGAGAAGGAACTGAGCAAGGCTATAAGTCTAGTTTTAAGGACAGGCTGGGATAAAATGCTTTGGTTTTTTTTGTTTGTCCTTGTCTTAAGACAGGGTCTCACTATGCAGTCATAGCTGACTTGGAACTTGCTATGTTGATGAGACTGGCCTCGAATTCATGGAGATCTGCCTGTCTCTGCCTTCTGGGTGCTGGATTAAAGGTATGTGCTATCACATTGGGCTTTGATTTTAATTTTTTAAAAGATTTTGTTTAATGTATATGGGTGTTTTTACCTGTATATATAGTGACCAAGGCATCCAGAAGAATCGAGCCCCCTGGGACTGGAGTCACTAATGGTTGTGAGTTGCCATGTAGGTGCTGGGAATCAAACCCTGGTCCTCTGGAGAAGCAGCTCTTAACCACTGAGCCATCTCTCCAGTCCTAGACAAAGTAACTTCAGACATGGACCTTGGCTGTGTCACAGCTGGAAAGACCCATTCCCTTTCTGTCCTTTTTCTGAAAGAGGAACTTAATCCCAGGAGGGCCTGGCACAGATCTGAGAGCCCATCATCCACCATAGGGTAGAATCCAGTGGTATTGGCCTCCTCTGAAATCCTGGTCTATTCCATATCTGCCCACCAGGTGGCAGAGCGGCATTAGGGAAAAGTGCAGAAAGAAGGGTGGGCAAAAGCCTTCTTCTGGCACAAATTTTCTCCAACAAGCAGATGCAAGCCTCTGCCTGTTCTGGGACAGCACTAAGGTCACTGTAAGCATTGTGGACACTCACAGAGGCAAATTCGGCCTGACCACGGAGGTAGGAGTAGGCGGTGGTAAAAGCTGGGGATAGACTCCAGCAGACAGGGTAGGAAATCTTTGCCGCTAGGGACCTCCTTGGCAGCTGGCTCAGAGGGGTGCTGGCACACCCAATGGAGTACAAGAAGGAGGTCGTCATTTCCCGGGCTCTGCACAAAGCTGGGGGTTGGTCGTTGGTGCTTAGGTGGTTGGGGGCCGCCACTAGTGAGGTTCTACCAGGTGGCAGAAGTCTCTGCCATCACTCCAGGGGGCCACTAATGCGTCTGACAGCTCCACAGCTCAGCGTAGGCCCCGCAGTTCGGCCAGACTTCTGAACTCGCACCACACAGGGAACTGTAAGTTCAAAGGCTGGGGGCCGGAAACTTTGGATGGGTGGGGCAGTGGGGGCGGGGTGAGGACTGAGAGAAGCCTGGAAGGAAGGGAGGATTGGAAGAGAAGTAGGCTGGACCTTGGGAACTCAAGCAAGCTATCTGTTCTGAACTTTATACTGGGAGGAACCGGGAACTATTGAAGATAGCAAGAGGATGGCATGGTAACATGGGTGCCGAGAGCTGTGGGTAGACATAGGAAGGGAGGAGGAGAAGTGTGGGACAGAGAGGCCAGCCCACAGGGTTCATTTTCTACCCATCCACCAAGACCTTCCCATGGGCCCTTAGGCTAAACCTTCGTGAAACTGTTGGTCCTGGTGACACACAGGGCAGGGGAGCTTCCCTGGCTGAAGAGATCATTTCTCCACCTGGTATATCCTAGGAGAGTCTTGATATTGGTGGCGTCCCAGGAGAAAGACTGGCTAAGAGAAAAACCAGACTGGGGGGGGGGTGGAGGTTGGGAGGACAGAGGCAGGGCAGTCTGCTAGGACACACACTGTGGTTAGCATCTCTTTCAGGTGCCAACTTGGCCATGTGACCGAAGTCAAGTCACGTTGGTAATCTAAACCTTAGCTCCTGCATCTGTAAAACATGGTTATAGGGCTATGGAGACCAGCGGGTACCTGGTGACCAGGGTTGGAGCCTCTGAACCCACAGAAGAGCGGGAGAGAACCAACTCCACAAAGTTGTTCCCTAAGCTCCACACATGTTTAGGGGCATGCACAGCCCCCCCCACATGCATGTACAACATAACAATAAATAAAATATAAAAAATAAAAGGTAGCTAACTATGGATGGCATCAGGCTGTCTTAGGGACTGGGCTAGGTGGTGTGTGTAGAACTCAGCACCGTTATGGGAGTGGGGTCGGAGAAGACCCAAGAAAGGGGACTTCCAGGTTGTCCATCACGCAGAGAGCCTATGTAGGTGGGCACACTGGCTCTCTGGCCTGGAAGTAACCTCTTCAAGCCAGGGTGGGTTTCAAACCAGGTCAGCCCCAGGCTGACACCACATGGTATTAGGCCAAGGGAATTCTAGCCAAAAGCAAAGAAACAATGCTGGTCAGTCCAGAACCACCTTTAGGAGGAAGGCGCTGTGTCTGTTCCCTTGTTTAAACATTCAAACTGATTTTCCTGGGCCAGGTTTCGAGGAGGGAACCTCTGCTCTGTTTTGTGTTGGCTTTCTTGTGCGCTTGGGCACTAAAGGTTGCCTCTAAGCCCAGTTACTGCCATAAATGTCTTGTTTGGATCCCTGCTTTCTTTTATTTTTTTCCTTTGTTTTTTTTTGTATGTATGTGCCTGTGTATGTGCGTGCTTGTGTGTTTGCGTGTAACATGTCTGTACTTGCACAGAGGCCAGAGAAGGACATGTGACCCGCTCCTTCAGTCTCCTCTGCCTTATGTGTTTGAGACGGTTTCCCTCACTGAACCTGGAGCGAGGCTGGCAAGCAGAAAAGCAGAAAATCCCAGGCATTTTTTAAAATACGAGTAGTGGGTTCTGAGCTCGGTTCTTAGGCTAATCCACCAAGCACTCTTGACCTCCATCTCTCCAGCCTCTACATTTTTTTTTTCTGGCACACTAGAAAATTGAGCCTGAGGGAGGCCTCACACATGTTAGGCAAGGCTTTCCCACTGAGTTACACCCTTTATGTACACTCTTCAGGTGTTCTTTATGGTCGCCCTGTGAGGTAGGTAGGTAGGGCCTACTTGTTATTCACCCCATTGTATGTGTGGGGAAACCAAGACTGGAAAAGGTTGACACATGTGTATGGATCTACTTTACTTGGCCTATAGATAGGACAGTGTGCTTAGAGCCCAAGTTTCCCCCAGCACCTAGAATTATCCAGTAAGCAGAACTGGGCCAAAAGCCACACAAGGTACAGCGCTCGTCAGCCCGGCGGTACCGACCACTGTATTTGTATGACGTCTGCCGGGGAGAATTCAGGGCAGGGAGACAAGAGCTTCTCCCAAACCACTGGCCTGGATTCTTCCAGTCATATCAAAGCAACACTTCTTTGTGGGAGGATGGGGAGGTCCTGGGAGCAGAACCCAGAGCTTCCCGTGCACACATTAGATGCATGTTACCAGCCTGCTAGTGACTTCTCATACACAATTTACCTCATGCCAGGCCTGCTCAAGAGCCGCAGACCACTCATTTAATCTTTCCAAATGACCCCAAAGAACAGAGTTCAAGAATTGCTTAGGGTCAGCTGGGCATGGTGGCACTTTAATCCCAGCACTCTGGAGGCAGAGGCAAGTGGATCTCTGTGAGTTTGAGGCCAGCCGGTCTACAGAGGGAGTTCCAGGACAGCCAGGGCTGTTACATAGAGAAACCCTGTCTTGAAAATAGCACCCCCCCACCCCACCCCCGCCGGGCGGTGGTGGCACAAGCCTTTAATCCCAGCACTGGGGAGGCACAGACAGGCAGATCTCTCTGAGTTGGAGACTAGCTTGGTCTACAAGAGTTAGTTCCAGGACAGCCTCCAAAGCCACAGAGAAACCCTGTCTCGAAAAACCAAAAAAAAACAAACAAACAAAAACAAACAAACAAACAAACAAAAAATAGCACCCCTCACTTAAAAAAAAAAGGCTTAGGGTCATGTGACTAGTAAGTAGGAGAGTTGGGTTTCAAAATAACATAGCTTAATGACAGGGAATTGTCTGGTAGGCAGAAGGCTCTAAATTCAGTCTTCAACACGGTGTGTGTGTGTGTTATTTAATTAACATAACATTGTCTCCAAGACCTGTGCACTTAATCACAGTTACTACTTCCTATACAATTTGAAACACATCCTGTTTCCTTCTTTGCTTTGACTGCCAGGAAACTCAGCACCGTTTGGGTTAGACCACAGTCTCTGTCCTTAGAAAACTTTCCATCACCTTGCCGCTGTAGTCAGATTTTTGTGTTTCTTCCTTCCTTCTCCTCTGGCCTTCTGCCCAGGCTTTCATTACTCCTTGATTCCTACTCTTTAATTATTGATCAAATGGTCTTTAGGCTGCAGAGGAAACCACCTCCAAACCCTTTTTGGAACCAGCAGGACATAAGGCATTTATGAGCCGAATAGAGACCTTCTGACTGGCTGAGGCGGCCGGTCACAGTCTGCAAGAGGACTGTCTTCCAGTGGAGAGAACAGTAAACCAAGCTAACCCTGCATCTGTGAAATGATGCTGGCGCTATCCAGAGCAGCCCGACTACACCGAGGCTCTTCCAGTGGCTCATTGGGTGAAGCGCTTGTCACATGCCTGAGGACTGGAGTTTGGATTCTCCCCAAACCCAGCCCAACTAGAATCCCAGGGCACGGAAGAGGAGATGGAATTGTTGGAGGAGTCAGAGAGCTCGAGTAGCAAAACCACTGAGTCCTGGGCTCAGTGGGGGACCGTGCCTCAGTACTTAAGGTGGAGAGTGACTGGGAAGGATACAGGGCATCAGTCTCAGGACCCTATGCTAATGTCCACACACGCACTTCCATACTCACCTATGCAGCACACATGTGGACACACACAGTACACTTACATTTGGAAAGGTAGGAAAAATGAACTCCTCCAAATGTACTCCCTGGTCAGTGTAGGGATGGAGTCAAACCCAGATTGACTCAGGCTCTGCCACGTCCAATATGTGGCTTCGAAGGTCACCCCGGTGTTGACATCCAATTGGCAGATGGGAGAGCACATGCATACTTCTTAACCACGCTGGCCTGGATGTGGTGCCACGTCATCCTTGCCACTGTCCCATTGGTAGGAAGGAATCACGTCGCAATTGCAAGAAGGGTTGGAAAAATGTAGTCTGGGCTGCTTTCCTCTGAAACAGCTCTAAACATGGAGGGGACGCTTCTGCAGTGAGTAACTCACACGGGTCCAGGTCCTGTGTATACGGATGTAGACGGCCACAAGACGGAAAATGGCTGGCCTTGCTTCTGAGGAACCATGGGCGAAAGGGAGCATTTAGGGCTGAGGAGACGGCTCAGGAGGTAAAAATGTTGTTGTCACTGTTATCTTTGTACTGGGGAAATGGATCTTTGGAGCTCACAGGCCGGCCAGTCTATCTGATTTCAGTGAGTTTTAGGGTCAGGGAAAGAGCCTGTCTCAAAAGAACAAGGGGCCGGGCGGTGGTGACGCACGCCTGTAATCCCAGCACTCGGGAGGCAGAGGCAGGCGGATCTCTGTGAGTTCGAGGCTGGGCTGGACCGATAGCCTCCAAAACAATACAGAGAAACCCTGTCTCGAAAACAAAACAAAACAAAACAAACAAACAAAAAAAGAACAAGGGTGGGGTGGGGTAGTGGTGAGGTTAGAGAGATGGCTCAATGGTTAGAGCACTGGCTGCTCTTGAAGGGGACCTGGCTTCAGTTCCCAGCACCCACATGGCAGTATACAAAAATCTGTAACTAAAGCTTCAGGGAATCTGACACCTTCTCCTGTCCTCCTTAGACACATGCACTCAAGTACATGTACACACACACACACACACACACACACACACACACTTTGTTGTGTATACATACATATGGAGGCCAATGGTCAACATCCTTCCTCAGTCACTCTGTCACTATTTTTAGAGCGAGAGTCTCTCAAGGAAACCGAAGCTCATTGGTTTAGATAGGCAGATTAGCCAATGAGCTTCAGGAAGCTGTTTGTCTGTACCTCCTGGTGATAGCATTCCAGGCTTGGGCAGTCACACCCAGCTTTTTCTTTTCTTTTTGTTTTTGTTTTTGTTTTTTTTTCGAGACAGGGTTTCTCTGTGGCTTTGGAGGCTGTCCTGGAACTTGCTCTGTAGACCAGGCTGGTCTCGAACTCAACAGAGATCTACCTGCCTCTGCCTCTGCCTCTGCTTCCTGAGTGCTGGGATTAAAGGTGTGTGCCACACACCCAACTTTTTGTTGTAGTCATTGTTGTCCTTGTTTGTTTTTGAGACAGGGTTTCTCTGTGTAGCCCTCTGTGTAGGAACTAGCTTTGTAGACCAGGGTGGCCTCGAACTCAAAGTGTATGCCACCACTCCTGGCCATAGCCAGGTTTTTTTGTGGGTGCTGGAGTCAGAAAGTCAGGTCCTTATGATTGCATGGCAGACATTTTAAGGATGAGCCATCTACTGGCTTTACATTTGCAGTTTAAACCAGACTTCTGTCCACAAAGGAAGAAAATGTGGAGAACACCATGTTCAGAAAAAGTCCAAGGGAGATTGAATTTTCACTAGTTTTTAAGGTTGGGGAAAGAGTCAGGCTGATGTCCCAAGTTTTAGCTGGGGCTCCAGGTCCATAGTCTTCTCGAGTTAACCGCTATGTGCCGTGGGCATTTGGGGGACTCATAAGAAATGAGGTAAGGTCCTAGGCTTCCGGGTTACTGAACTAGAGCTAGGATGCAGTGTAAATGGCCTGAGGTCTGGAAACGGGAGCCTGGAGTCAGATTCCTAGCTGAGTTACATAGCTGTATGATGAAGAACCCACAGGACCCCTGGTTGTCAGATTCCTGGCCCAGTGGGTAAAGTCTCTTATGATAAGCAGGACGACTTGAGCTAGAATGGCATCCTCTAAGTTGTTCTCTGATCTTAGTGCAACCTGGCGCTTGCCCCTCATTTGCCAACCTCAGTGTTCTCATCTAAAGGATGGAGTTAACAGACTGACATCAGGGGGTTGGAATCTGGCCGCACTGTGGGCTCTGCCTCCCTGGGATAAATGTGTGGCCTCCCGTCCCGGTGCAAGAACTGTCACTGCACACCCCCTCTTCCCCACCCACCGGCGCGTTCCCGGCAGAGGAGGACCCGGAGTTCACAAGGACGTGGCTTCCTGGCCGCATTCCGGGGAAGGAGCTTTGCGCAGCGGGTCCCATCCCCCGGTCGTCCGGCTCAGGAAACGCAGAGAAAGCCAGGAACCCGGCCTGCCAGGCCCCGGGGCCCTCCGCCCCGGCCTTCGGCTGCAGGAAGCGGGCTGGCGGGAACGCCCTGCCCGTGGGTGGGAAAAGCCGGAGCTGCAACATTGCGGCGTCCCAGGCTGCAGAGAGCTGTCACCGCCGCAGCGCGCCCCTTGCCGCAGCCCCAGCCCTGCGCCAGTGCGGCAGCCGCGTGGCCGGGATCCTGCAGGCACCACTGTGCCACTGCGCCTGCCAAGGCGCAGGGAGGGAGGGCTCCGGCCCAGAGCTATCTTGGAGGGGGCGACATGCTGAGGGTATTTAGGTGAGTGGTCCACAGCACCGCTAGAAAATTGCTGGACCCGCTGGTGTTAGACTCCGGGTGTCTTTTGAGACTTAACTTTGTTCTGGGCTCCCGGAGATTTAGTTTCTTGATGGTGGAGATCTCAAAGACAGTTCTGGACCTAGAGGCTAGCTACTGTGATGGGCAGACCTTGATCCCTTTTCACCAATTATAAGGAAGGAAAAGATGGAGGACATACAAGGGCGGTGCTTTCTAGTACAGCATGGTTGTTGGAATCAGTCATTCTCGAACTTAAACCCTAGCTTTCCCCCTTACCAACTGTGTGACCTTAAGTAAGTTCATTTCCTTTTCTGCGCTTCCAGGCCACATCCTCTTTTTTGTTGTTGTTTTGGTTTTTCGAGACAGGGTTTCTCTGTATTGTTTTGGAGGTTGTCCTGGAACTCGCTCTGTAGACCAGGCTGGCCTCTGACTCACAGAGATCCACCTGCCTCTGCCTCCCGGGAGCTGGGATTAAAGGTGTGCGCCACCAATGCCCGGCTAGGCCATGTCCTCTTAAAGAGTCTCCAGCTCTCCTAGACTCCCCACTCTGAATCCCTCTATCCCTTTAGCATAAGACCTGATTCTTTGTGACTAATATCGTTAAACAATTGTATTCAATGCCCTGTCTCTCCACCTCAGAAGTCCCAAAGTTCAGGACGATGGGGACCTTTGCTGAAGGGCGGACTGTGTAGCATTGACACATGTTAAACACTCAAGCCATTTGTTGTGAAATAGAAGAGTGAAGGAATGGAGAGATGCGTGCCAGACGCTACATTAAGGGTAGAAAAGCACCAGGAATGAATCAGCGTAGTTCCTGTCTTCAAGGAGGTCCCAGACTGGATGGGGAGGGGTTTGTGCAAGAGGATGGTCCTGAGTATGCGCTAACAGCCCTGGAGATAAACACTAGTCGGAGGAGAGCAGCGGGAGAGCCAGAGATCAGTGACACTCAGTCCCTAGAGGGCCTGGATAATGGATTTCTTTCCCACTACAACATACAAGGCACTTAATTTGCAAAAGGTGTCCTTGTATGTTTTTATCCTAAGGAGGTGGGGGAATTGATGAAGAATTTAGTGACTTTTCCCAGCTCTCCTCCTCATTTGGAGGTGGAGAGCTATACCAAGGATGGATTCAAAAACCATGTGCATACTAGGCAAGCTGTCGACCAGTCTCAAGGACCCAGCCAATGATTTTTATACCACTTGGTTTAGGTTCAAGTAAATGTGTGATCTTAGGTAAGTTATTTTGCCTCTCCGGAGGACTTGCTTTGTCTTCTTAACCTAAAAAGAGCAATGAAGGCTTCCTATGACTGTCTGAAATAGTTGGTGCAGAACACTTACTGTGAGTCTTAGTTTGTATGAAAGGGTCTGTTACTTGTAGAATTAAAGAGTGACACGGTAGGGATGCAGTGGTGGGAGCCCTGGACGTGAGGACAGAAAACCACGCCATTTGGAGGCCAGCAGGCAGGTGGAGGGTGGTTTTATTCCTCTCCACTCTCACTTTCCATAACTCCTGTGAGACTTTGCTCCTGGACCCATTCATTATTGCGCTGTAATTTACTGTTTGCGAACCAACAAAGGTGAATCAACTCCAGCTTGGTTAGCGTTCTTTTTATATAGGCTTTTATTGCCTTATTTTCTGATGACAAAGTAATACGTGCTGCTTGTAAAAAAAATTAGATTGCAGGAAGATATCACTGGGGGAAAGCGAAAGTGCCAGCTTAGGCACACAAGACACAGGAGTTGACAGCTTGCTATTCTTTGGGAGACAGGGAGGGGCATCCCACAGTGTGAGGGCTAAGTTTTAATGTGTCAGAGTGTCTGGGGTACTGGATGCCCAGATCTTTCCTAGGTGTGTCTGTGAGGATGTTTCTAGAGGAGGCTAACATTTGAGTTGATGGACTGAGTAAAGATTAAAGTTGGTAAGTGGTATAGCCGGGGATTTGTGCACTCCTGTAAACATGCACACCCCTCCCCCCAACATTTTTATGTCTGTTATGTGTCAAATTCCAGGCCTGGCAAAGGCTCAGTATGTGTTCTATCATAGAGTTGTAGCCCCAGCTCCTAAAATTCAGATCTTAGTTTTTCACTGGGCTGATGCTTTAACTGTGAATTAATGAATATATGGTTGCTGGGATCCTGGGTCTTGGGTAAATAATTCTATCTTTAGAAACATTTACTGGGATCCCACAGAAATTGAGATGGAGTTTGTAGAACTTTTTATTTTTTATTTTAGAAAAGGGATCTTATGTAGCCCAGGTTGACTTTGAGTTGATCCTCCTGCCTCTGCCTCTGGAGTGCTGGAATTATAGGCATGTAATACCACACCCAGCTACCTTTGAGACTTTCTATAGCACTATACACAGCTGGCACAGATCCCCTCTATGAACTTTCTTCCCTGTTAGCATTTTGTCAGGCCTTGTTTGTTTGTTTTGAAAGTTCCTATATACACACAGAAAAAAAAAACAAACCAAAAAGAATGAAAAAAAGGTGAAAGTCCTCTTAGTGTTTTCTTCTTGCCTCTGAATTTTTGCCTATATGTAGACTAAACACATACTATAAAGCACAGGCCTCACATACACCTGTGATTCTGTGACTTACGATTTGCAGTTAAGAACACTCAGCAGGAGCCGGGCGTTGGTGGCGCACGCCTTTAATCCCAGCACTCAGGAGGCAGAGACAGGCGGATCACTGTGAGTTCGAGACCAGCCTGGTCTACCGAGTGAGTTCCAGGACAGGCTCCAAAACAACACAGAGAAACCCTGTCTCGAAAAACCAAAAAAAAAAA